ATGTATTCATGTAGAAAATACTATATATGACCATGTGTGATACTAAAGATATCAAAATGTTCATTTTTAAGTGCAATAGAAGGGTTATCTCTCGTAAATCTCAATTTAAGGAAGATTTAGAAAGAACTCCTTTCCTAAGTAGATAGTGTGTGGTTTCTGTCTTTTGGTTGATCAGGAACTATGAAATTAAGTCGGACAGAAAGAAGTTCTTTCCAAAACAGACTCCAAATGAGTTGTTCGAAAAGAACTTCCTTCTGTATATGGATAATTGTAGTTACCGCACTGAAGTATGTGATTGTGATGATGGAGTTCTCGATAAATCTAAAATCGGATTAAGATTAATTGAAAACTCAAGTAATTCTTTGAAATCTTGTGTTGTCTGGCACTATAATAACCAAAGAATGAGAATATTATGTTGAATGATGAGTACGTGTGCTCGGCATTCGCCGAGCGAATTGAGTTTAACGTACTATGAAAAGTGACAAATTTGGGCTTTTTTTCCTAGGGTTATGATCTCTTCCTTTCTGCTCAATACGACAGAAATGAAAGAATGAATTTGTACTCCCTAATTGATTACTACAATCTGTATCTATCTTTAACATAGAATTAGCTGCATTGTGATTTATACTCCAGAATTATTCAATTTAAGATCAACCTCGTAAATTTTAATCATATTGCACCAATACTCCTACGTTGAGATAAGAACATGATTATACATACCAAAGCCCCATATTAAAAATCAAAATTTAGCACCTCCATTATGCAACCACATTATTCGTCGCAAATAAGTATATTTACGCATATTATGATGCATATTCACACAACTCGTATACATGAAAAGTTATTAAAATCAGACAAAATTATTGCAATAAGGAAAAAAAAACAACTTTATTATATATGTTAGTAATGAATTACAAATATTTCTACAAAGAATGCTCAATACTTCATATAATCTTCGAATATTTCTTATTACAAGTTAATACATTTTGACTCGAACATGATAAACAAAAGCTGACACGCTGATTACTACATTTATGAAAATATAGTACGTTTCCATTCATCTGTTTACTTGTTTTTGTTGGAATAAAATCATTTTTTTTTCTTTCATGAAATAAGAATTTTGCTGCGAAAGCAATATCTCTAACAATAATTAATACATTACGTCAACTCTGGAATGAGTATTTATCAAATATGATATCAAAATCAAAAATTAGTTGTTTTTTATGAGTAAAAACGATGTAAATTGATTATTTGACTAATTATCAAATACTTTGATTTTCCAAATTTTTTTCGAAATTGATTTTTTCATGTGAAAATTCAAATTGTTTAATTTCATTTTTGAAATTTTGAATTTTTTTTGGAATTTTGAGTTGATCAATTCAGCAGAATTGATAATGCTATTGCTTTAGGGCATACCACAAGGTGATGAATAAAAGGTGAACATTAACAAATTATTTTAAATCACAAATATCATCCTCATCAACTTTAATTCTAAAAAGAACTGTACTGAATTATGAAAATGCATGATTTACATTATTAAAATCTTTGAATGAAAATAGTACAAGATAAGTTTTTATTCATTTTTAATTAGATTTAAACGAAAAACTACTCCATATTAAAATTTAAGTCGAGAAATCGTATTTTGTTCTTATTTGTTAGCATTTTGTAGACATTCTAATCTTGAATTAATTTGTTACATGATATTATTAACAAATTTAACTGAAAAAATATGTTAATATGGAATAAACCATGATTATATAAGCTATCAATGCTATATATACATATGTAAAAGATTCATATTAACTCAATTAACAAAAATGATAGATTTTCATAAAGGTTCAATCTAGGTTCGTCCGAAAATTTTGATTTTTATATAGAAGACATAGTTTCATATACATAATTAAATTTTCAAACAAATTTGATCATACCATTTATTAAGCAGGATAGTATATTAATTACTATCAGTATAAAAATATAAAAATTATTATATTTAATTATTGCATAATTTAGTCAAAGAGTTATAAGCCTCAAGTGATCGTTATCACCTTCAATGCACGTATACTTTATTGATTCATAGATATTTAATCTATGTTTGACATGTTGTTGTCGTCATTCGTTTTGTTCCCATTCTTCCTAAGTTAGAATTAGAGAATACACCATCCACATCATCTAATTTGGTCCTCAGCGATAGATTGGTTCATTTTGGAGGAGTCCCATCAGACAGTTTTCGAGCACCAAATATCAAAATTTAATGTATACAAATCTTTAGTGATTTATCTCTTTTATGATGAGTAAAAGGTTTCTGCTCATCAACATTTGATTTCCGACATATATGATTTCTAATTGCAATTATTTACTTTCTTTTTATAATCTAACTCTGTGACTCATACCATAAATTAATTATTGGAAAGTGTCAATATGTTTGGCACAACGCATGGCGGAAGATACCAAACCATGCAGGGAATATGATACGTTTAAGATCTCCGAACTTTTTTTCCAAAAATTTTCTATCGTTGCCCTACCTCTCCTCTCAAATAAACGTACATCCGGGTGGTCTGTTTTTTGCAAAAAATAAAATTTCATTTTTTATGCTTAAAAAGTCAGAATTTTTATTTGCTTCTGGGATATATGATGGCTATATTAGGGCTGTACAAAATCGAGAAAAACATTGCCGTGCGGTAATATAGGGTCAAAAAAATCGCGCCTCGGCACTATTAAGTGCGCATTATATTTAATATGTCCTTTTTTTTCTTTTTTTTCTTCTTCTTTTCCTTTCCTTCTTCCTCTCCTTCCTCTTCTTTCCTTCTCCTTCTCTTTTTACAACAACGTCGAAGATCTTCGAATTTGATTGTTGGAAAAGCATCTATTTCAGATAAAGGATGCCTTTCTCACAGTCAACATACGAGGGTCCTGGCTGAAACGTTCTCAAAAAGCTGAGATGGTAATTCTCTGATCACTCATAGCTGGGCAGGTAGTCATTGCTGACAATACCTGTCTTTATGCATGCACGCTTTCATGTATATGGGTTTACACTATCAATTCGCAAAGTTGTTCCGAATTCTTCCAAAATGGAAGGACCCGAAACAACTTTGCTTGTTAACGATACAGACGCATTACTTTGCATTGATACTGTGCTGAGTTGTGTAGAAAGTTTGATTAGAGTTGTTTTGTTCTGGTATCTCTCATCTTCTGATGAGAGAAATCAAAGCAAAACAACTCTAATGAGTTTGTTTTCACTCATTTGTATGTAGGTTTTTAGTTCGATTGGAGCTGCTTCATAATGAGATCTCTCATCAATTGATGAGGGAGATCATAACAAAGCAGCTCTAATGTATATGCTCGTATTAACCGGGCTGTAATGCGTTGTAACGTCAGCTTGTAGTTCGTTTGGGGCCACTTCACATTGAGATGAGAAGAAATGATTAAAGGACTCTGAAAGGCTTTGCCGTTGATGTTGTAATCGCATTACTTGGAACTAGCTGGATGCAGTTAGTATACAAATCTTGCGTACGGTGGCACTGCGTTCCTCCGTACACGAGACTTGTGAATTTGACACTTTACAAAACTGTTAACGTATATTTTACAACACAAACACAAACACCAACTTAACCTTAAATATTTATAAAGCCGCCAACCACTTCACCTCACTAACGTTTTCACAAACGACTTCACTACTGTAAAAAATAAACGTTCTCACTTACAAAAGTATTGCAACTCTTCCCATTGCTGTGCTTCACACAATAGTTCATATTCTTCAGTATCGCTGCTGTCGCTCCAATCGTCAGAGTCAAAGTCACTGTCAAAATAAATGTTAGTAAGTTTTGACAAAGCTAATGAAACACGCTTACCGTTTGTATCGTATGCTTGTATAAACTTTCCATTCTTCATTCCTTCATAAACGCTCAAACTAACTTTACCCTTTCTCCCTCGTATCTGATAGAATGTATTTTCACGAGGAACGAAGAACAAATTCTTGAACTCATGACCGTTGTAGTTTGTTATCTCAATAGTTTTCGTCATTACATCCAAATAAAATAAAAATAAAATAAAAAATAAAATAAAAAATAAATGATATCACCACCCTCACACGTATGAAAACATAGCACAAAAATAAATTTAGGTGAAGTGGTGAGATCTCACCTCTTTTTTCACCTGTTTTTTCACCCTGTTGAATTCATTGCTTTATAACTCTCTTCCTTTCTCCAACTCTTCTAACTTCTTCTTAAGTTCAGCAATGTTGTCCTCATGAAGTTTAATCTTCCTTAATATACCTTCTTTATCTAATGGTTGCTTTATCTTTCTAAACTGAACTCTACCATCCTTCATAGTATGAATGTAAAAACCTTCTGGAATAATTCCTGATTTAATGTATTCTACCAAAAACTTTTGTTTCATTGCTTCAGTGACTTTATTTGTCATTTTACTCTAAGGTGAAGCTAGCACAGCGATAATGGATTTCATGACTTTTTAGTATTTCATGCAATCTTAACAGATAGCCTTACAAGTACTTCCAGTGTCCCTAGCTGTCCTCCTTTTTTATATAACTCCATGACATTTATAATCTCGCGAAACTTAACAGGTAGCATAACAGATTAAAATCAGATGAGGTTTGAACCAAAATTTCTAAGCAACGTTGTCAAGGATTTTTGAGGAACTAGGGACAGAGTGTGGCAAAGTCCAAGATTTAATTTATCTTCATCTGTTTCATCAGCTATCTCATCTAATATGCCAATATTTTTATTCATAACTCGTGGCAAACTCACTAACTTTCGTTATGTTCATCTGCATGCTTCATCTGATAGAAAGTATGACTTTCATTAACTCTGTGAGATAATGAAAACTACTAGGGACAGAGACCATGGCAAAGTTTATGACTTTCATTATTTCCAGAACTTAATGGAAACTACTAGGGACAGAGACCATGGCAAAGTTCATGATTTAATTTATTCTCTCACTAACAACAAACACAAACTCCAACACTAACGACAAAATAAATGTCCTCACTTCTTAACAAAGTAATATGTGCTTCTTACACCACCATAGCTCAAACGTTTCTTTTCAAACATCGATTGAAACTTATTTTGAGCCATTGGCTTTAGTCTCTTTTTCTTCAAATACGCCAAGAAATCTTCTTCACATCTTTTCACTTCATAGCCTTCTTTAAACTCCTCCTTGTTAAGTTCTATGAAATCCTTTATCTCATTCTTTGTTGCAATGGCTTCTTCACGAACGACATCATGAACTATTTCAACACTGTTCTCATGAACGACCTCCTCACTGTCTTTCATAAGCGTTTCATCACTGTTCTCATGTATGACCTCCTTACTGTCTTTCATAAGCGTTTCAACACTGTTCTCATGTATGACCTCCTCACTGTCTTTCATAAGCGTTTCAACACTGTTCTCATGTATGACCTCCTTACTGTCTTTCATAAGCGTTTCAACACTGTTCTCATGAACGACCTCCTCACTGTCTTTCATAAGCGTTTCAACACTGTTCTCATGAACGACCTCCTCACTGTCTTTCATAAGCGTTTCAACACTGTTCTCATGTATGACCTCCTCACTGTCTTTCATGAACTATTTCAACACTGTTCTCATGAACGACCTCCTCACTGTCTTTCATAAGCGTTTCAACACTGTTCTCATGTATGACCTCCTCACTGTCTTTCATAAGCGTTTCAACACTGTTCTCATGTATGACCTCCTCACTGTCTTTCATAAGCGTTTCAACACTGTTCTCATGTATGACCTCCTCACTGTCTTTCATAAGCGTTTCAACACTGTTCTCATGTATGACCTCCTCACTGTCTTTCATAAGCGTTTCAACACTGTTCTCATGTATGACCTCCTCACTGTCTTTCATAAGCGTTTCAACACTGTTCTCATGTATGACCTCCTTACTGTCTTTCATAAGCGTTTCAACACTGTTCTCATGAACGACCTCCTCACTGTCTTTCATAAGCGTTTCAACACTGTTCTCATGTATGACCTCCTCACTGTCTTTCATAAGCGTTTCAACACTGTTCTCATGTATGACCTCCTACTGTCTTTCATAAGCGTTTCAACACTGTTCTCATGTATGACCTCCTCACTGTCTTTCATAAGCGTTTCAACACTTCTCATGTATGACCTCCTCACTGTCTTTCATAAGCGTTTCAACACTGTTCTCATGTATGACCTCCTCACTGTCTTTCATAAGCGTTTCAACACTGTTCTCATGTATGACCTCCTCACTGTCTTTCATAAGCGTTTCAACACTGTTCTCATGTATGACCTCCTCACTGTCTTTCATAAGCGTTTCAACACTGTTCTCATGTATGACCTCCTCACTGTCTTTCATAACTTTCAACACTGTTCTCATGAACGACCTCCTCACTGTCTTTCATAAGCGTTTCAACACTGTTCTCATGTATGACCTCCTCACTGTCTTTCATAAGCGTTTCAACACTGTTCTCATGTATGACCTCCTCACTGTCTTTCATAAGCGTTTCAACACTGTTCTCATGTATGACCTCCTCACTGTCTTTCATAAGCGTTTCAACACTGTTCTCATGTATGACCTCCTCACTGTCTTTCATAAGCGTTTCAACACTGTTCTCATGTATGACCTCCTCACTGTCTTTCATAAGCGTTTCAACACTGTTCTCATGTATGACCTCCTACTGTCTTTCATAAGCGTTTCAACACTGTTCTCATGAACGACCTCCTCACTGTCTTTCATAAGCGTTTCAACACTGTTCTCATGTATGACCTCCTCACTGTCTTTCATAAGCGTTTCAACACTGTTCTCATGTATGACCTCCTCACTGTCTTTCATAGACGTTTCAACACTGTTCTCATGAATGACCTCCTCACTGTCTTTCATAAGCGTTTCAACACTGTTCTCATGTATGACCTCCTCACTGTCTTTCATAAGCGTTTCAACACTGTTCTCATGTATGACCTCCTCACTGTCTTTCATAAGCGTTTCAACACTGTTCTCATGTATGACCTCCTCACTGTCTTTCATAAGCGTTTCAACACTGTTCTCATGTATGACCTCCTCACTGTCTTTCATAAGCGTTTCAACACTGTTCTCATGTATGACCTCCTCACTGTCTTTCATAAGCTTTTCAACACTGTTCTCATGTATGACCTCCTCACTGTCTTTCATAAGCGTTTCAACACTGTTCTCATGTATGACCTCCTCACTGTCTTTCATAAGCGTTTCAACACTGTTCTCATGTATGACCTCCTCACTGTCTTTCATAAGCGTTTCAACACTGTTCTCATGTATGACCTCCTCACTGTCTTTCATAAGCGTTTCAACACTGTTCTCATGTATGACCTCCTCACTGTCTTTCATAAGCGTTTCAACACTGTTCTCATGTATGACCTCCTCACTGTCTTTCATAAGCGTTTCAACACTGTTCTCATGTATGACCTCCTTACTGTCTTTCATAAGCGTTTCAACACTGTTCTCATGAACGACCTCACTGTCTTTCATAAGCGTTTCAACACTGTTCTCATGTATGACCTCCTCACTGTCTTTCATAAGCGTTTCAACACTGTTCTCATGTATGACCTCCTCACTGTCTTTCATAACTATTTCAACACTGTTCTCATGTATGACCTCCTCACTGTCTTTCATAAGCGTTTCAACACTGTTCTCATGTATGACCTCCTCACTGTCTTTCATAAGCGTTTCAACACTGTTCTCATGTATGACCTCCTCACTGTCTTTCATAAGCGTTTCAACACTGTTCTCATGTATGACCTCCTCACTGTCTTTCATAAGCGTTTCAACACTGTTCTCATGTATGACCTCCTCACTGTTTCATAAGCGTTTCAACACTGTTCTCATGTACGACCTCCTCACTGTCTTTCATAAGCGTTTCAACACTGTTCTCATGTATGACCTCCTCACTGTCTTTCATAAGCGTTTCAACATTCTCATGTATGACCTCCTCACTGTCTTTCATAAGCGTTTCAACACTGTTCTCATGAATGACCTCCTCACTGTCTTATTATAGCGTTTCAACACTGTTCTCATGTATGACCTCCTAACTGTCTTTCATAAGCGTTTCAACACTGTTCTCATGTATGACCTCCTCACTGTCTTTCATAAGCGTTTCAACACTGTTCTCATGTATGACCTCCTCACTGTCTTTCATAAGCGTTTCAACACTGTTCTCATGTATGACCTCCTCACTGTCTTTCATAAGCGTTTCAACACTGTTCTCATGTATGACCTCCTCACTGTCTTTCATGAACTATTTCAACACTGTTCTCATGAACGACCTCCTCACTGTCTTTCATAAGCGTTTCAACACTGTTCTCATGTATGACCTCCTCACTGTCTTTCATAAGCGTTTCAACACTGTTCTCATGTATGACCTCCTTACTGTCTTTCATAAGCGTTTCAACACTGTTCTCATGTATGACCTCCTCACTGTCTTTCATAAGCGTTTCAACACTGTTCTCATGTATGACCTCCTTACTGTCTTTCATAAGCGTTTCAACACTGTTCTCATGTATGACCTCCTCACTGTCTTTCATAAGCGTTTCAACACTGTTCTCATGTATGACCTCCTCACTGTCTTTCATAAGCGTTTCAACACTGTTCTCATGTATGACCTCCTCACTGTCTTTCATAAGCGTTTCAACACTGTTCTCATGAACGACCTCCTCACTGTCTTTCATAAGCGTTTCAACACTGTTCTCATGTATGACCTCCTCACTGTCTTTCATAAGCGTTTCAACACTGTTCTCATGTATGACCTCCTTACTGTCTTTCATAAGCGTTTCAACACTGTTCTCATGAACGACCTCCTCACTGTCTTTCATAAGCGTTTCAACACTGTTCTCATGTATGACCTCCTCACTGTCTTTCATAAGCGTTTCAACACTGTTCTCATGTATGACCTCCTCACTGTCTTTCATGAACTATTTCAACACTGTTCTCATGAACGACCTCCTCACTGTCTTTCATAAGCGTTTCAACACTGTTCTCATGTATGACCTCCTCACTGTCTTTCATAAGCGTTTCAACACTGTTCTCATGTATGACCTCCTCACTGTCTTTCATAAGCGTTTCAACACTGTTCTCATGTATGACCTCCTTACTGTCTTTCATAAGCGTTTCAACACTGTTCTCATGTATGACCTCCTCACTGTCTTTCATGAACTATTTCAACACTGTTCTCATGTATGACCTCCTCACTGTCTTTCATAAGCGTTTCAAAGTCTCCTTTACTCATTACTTCAATCTCATGCTGTTCACAGTAGTACTTAAACTCACTGTATATGTCTTTGTTGTATGTTATATTGCTTCCCATGTACTCCATGAATTTTTCAAGCACTTCCTCATAATTCACTGTTTCTTTCTTTCCACGACCTTCTAATATCATACTTGCTTCGTAAATATAACTTCTTGCAGAACCGTCTCGCTTTCTACTTCTCTTCACAAATTCTCTCATCTTGCCGCCAAATACATTTGAACTACATGCAAAGAATTCATTCTCCTTCGCAAATTCTTTATATCTTCTGTAGCACTCTGTACAATTCCATCCGGATACAAACTTTTCATAGAACTCCTCGTAAAACATTTGGTAAGGTGTTTTGTTCATTTCGATGAGTTCTTGTTTAGCCCTGGTGAATGGTATCTTCCTTACATCAAATTCACTTAAATCTTTCTTCATGAAGTACGTCAGTAAGTTTGAATAAAACTCTTCATTAAAGCTTTCAATGAGATTTGAGAAATATTCGTAATTTCCTTTGTATCAGCTGCTTACGTCAATGACAACAAATCTTCTGTCGTCTTTGTCAATCTTTACTGAGTTGAAGTTGTTAGATATCATGATGATATTACAAACATTCTCTATCTTTCTTACTGGCTGACACTTCTGATTTAAGTCCAACTGAGTCTCTGTTACTATTGACTTTAGTGCGTCGTGGTTCATGACCTTAGACGTATCGCATGAGCTTAGTTCATTGCATACGATGAGCTTCATGTTCTCAATAGCAGCATTGAATCTACCAACCACATTCTCTATTGCCGTTATATTATTGTTGGCGTACTTGCTAATGAGCTCGCATAGAACATTAATAAGTACATTCTTACCAGTTCCTTGCTTTCCTATTAACAAAAGTACTGTTCCAGTCTTTCCACAAGGATTTTGAACGATGTAGGCGAACCAGTTCAAAACATACTCATAAAGCTCTTCATCCTCATTACATATGACATCGTGAACATGTTTCAAATATCCTTCAATAACGTTCTCATCTACTTCATTCAGTACCTCATACTCATATCCTCTGAAATAGCTGTAAATGTCATCTCTTTCGTCAAAGAATCTCATGCCTGACTTCATAAGATAGTTCTTGTTCTGACCCGCTTCATAAATCATCAGTGCGTTCACATCCTTCTCCTCAATACGTCCTACATAAATACTCTTCATGAGCTTATTGAATTCCTTGCTATCTACTGACACAAGTGTTGTTGTGTCTCGTATTCCATCATAATCTTTCACTAGATATGTCATACGTGCTCCGTCAATAACGACAACACATCTTCTTAAGTCATTTATAACACTAGCTATGTCAATACGTCCTCACTCATGTACTTATTTCTTCTCAAGTCCTTTAGTGTGAAAGTGTCTCTAAGTTCTATTTCAAGCAATTCATTTACACATCCTTTACAATACTTCTCTATAAAATATTTCTGTCGTTCTTTACTAAGTTTTTAACAGCTCTGAAGAACCATGTGTTTTGACTCAAACATCCTTCACAACTTCTCTCATTCATTCCTAGTTCTTTCATGTCATTATCTTCAACCTCTATGGTCTCATTGACTAAGGTCAAAGGGTTCTTAGTCATTGCTGGTCTTATCTGAAACAATGTTTGTGCAACAGGTTTAACTAGTTCAGCAACGTCCTTCCTTAATATGAATAGCTGTTTCCACTCATCTTTGCTAACAGTTCTTTCATAACCACTGACAGTAATGATTTCATTTACTGACCTTAGACACTTATGTTCTATCATTTGTATTGCTTTTGTGTAAGGCTTTCGTGAGCATAGGTTGTATATGTCATTCCTGCAATGTTCATTCATGCCAATAGTACTAAATCCTTTCTTTGCTGTTGAGTGCATAATATCCATTAGTTCCTGTGTTCGTATTGCTGTCTCATAAAATACAACAAGACCTTTGTCATCTATGACGTACTTACCGAAAACATTGCTTATATTCTTTAACCATGAAATAACATCCTCATTCATGCTGTCAAACATGAAGTAAGGTCTTACATACTCTTCACTTATAAGATACTCCACAAAGTACTTGTTAAGCTCTATGTCCTCGTGAGCGATTTCATTAGGTTTGATATTAGTTCCTTTTGTCATTGCTGTCATGTACTTCACTCTCATAGTTCCTTTCAATAGCGTAAAAGTACTTCATTGTTTCATAACTGCTCTAAATTGTTCAAAATTCGTACAACATAACTTTTAACATTAGTGAAAGAACATGAGCGAAACAACAACATCTAACATTACAGAAGAAGTCAATGACAATGCCGATGAAAACATTACAGAAGGAGCTAGTGAAAATATTGACGAGTTCAGTGAGGAAGAAGATATTGAGGACGTCAATGAGAACGTTAGTGGGGAACAAACTCAATGGGAAACATTGAGAAATCATGAAGATTATGAGATTTGTACGACATATCCTTTTACTATTCGTCGAAAGAAAAACACATATTAAGAGTGAATGCTTAAATAATCATGGTTATATTGTGCTTAGTTTAAACAACAAAATACATTTAAAGCATAGAATTATTGCAGAACAGTGGATTGAAAATCCAAACATTTGAAAGAAATAGACCATATAAATCATGATAGAACGGACAACAGAATCTCAAACCTTCGTTGGTGTTCTAAATCTGAAAACAATAGAAATAAAAGCAAGTATGGCGATATAGTTTATGAGTTCGTTGATGAAATATCTGACGAAGCTGTTGAAATAACAGATTATGGTAAGCATTCGTTTGAGTTCTACTACTATGTTGAGAATGAGGACGCATTCTATTATTATACAGGTCTTAACTATCGAAAACTTCATATAAACTTTACAAAAACAGGTGCTGCTTATGTTTGTATGATAGATACAGAAAACAAGAGAGTAATCTTATGCATAAACAAATTCAAACGCTTGTACGGCTTCATGTAGGACAAACATTATTTTTCAACACTAACGCCAACACGTAGGACAAACATTCATGACTAACATTACTGTATAACATAAATGATTTGTCATGATTTCATCGTATATGTTTTGTCAAGACTTCTTCATCGTAATGAGCGTATATGCTTTGTCATGATTTCATCGTAAATGTTTTGTCATGATTTCATCGTAAATGTTTTGTCATGATTTCATCGTATATGTTTTGTCATGATTTAATCGTAATGAGTGTAAATGATCCAAAAATAATGTTTATGTTAGAATGTTAGATCTAACACCTTTTCTAACATGACCTCATGGAACTTAAACGTAAATGTTTTGTTATGACCTCATGGAACTTAAACGTATATGTTTTGTCATGACCTCATGGAACTTAAACGTAAATGTTTTGTCATGATTTCATCGTAAATGTTTTGTCAAGACTTCTTCATCGTAATGAGCGTATATATTTTGTCATGATTTCTTCATCGTATATGCTTTGTCATGATTTCATCGTAAATGTTTTGTCATGATTTAATCGTATATATTTTGTCATGATTTCATCGTAAATGTTTTGTCATGATTTAATCGTAATGAGTGTAAATGATCCAAAAATAATGTTTATGTTAGAATGTTAGATCTAACACCTTTTCTAACATGTTTTCTAACATGACCTCATGGAACTTAAACGTAAATGTTTTGTTATGACCTCATGGAACTTAAACGTATATGTTTTGTCATGACCTCATGGAACTTAAACGTAAATGTTTTGTCATGACCTCATCGTAAATGTTTTGTCAAGACTTCTTCATCGTAATGAGCGTATATGTTTTGTCATGACTTCTTCGTAATGAGCGTAAATGATCCAAAAATAATGTTTATGTTAGAATGTTAGATCTAACACCTTTACTAACATGTTTTCTAACATGGAGGATTTCATTAGATATAAATATTATTTGGTGAAAGTATCCTAAAAATATTTGATGGACTTTAACTAAAATAATGTTTAGGGAAGAATGTTAGATCTAACACCTTTTCTAACATGTTTTCTAACATGGAGGATTTCATTAGATATAAATATTCTTCCTTCATTTCATTCTATACACAATTTACATCATAGACGATTTAATAGATATAATACTTTACTGTTTCATTAGATATAAATATTCTTCCTTCATTTCATTCTATACACAATTACATCATAGACGATTTAATAGATATAATACTTTACTGTTTCATTAGATATAAATATTCTTCCTTCATTTCATTCTATACACAATTACATCATAGACGATTTAATAGATATAATACTTTACTGTTTCATCTGATATAAACATTCTTCCCTAAACATTATTTTAGTTAAAGTCCATCAAATATTTTTAGGATACTTTCACCAAATAATATTTATATCTAATGAAATCCTCCATGTTAGAAAACATGTTAGAAAAGGTGTTAGATCTAACATTCTAACATAAACATTATTTTTGGATCATTTACGCTCATTACGAAGAAGTCATGACAAAACATTTACACTCATTACGATGAAGAAGTTTCGACAAATCATTTACGAAGAAGTTTCGACAAATCATTTACGAAGAAGTCATGACAAAACATATACGTTTAGTTTCGATGAAGAAGTCATGACAAAACATATACGTTTAGTTTCGATGAAGAAGTCATGACAAAACATGAGGTGAGAAAAGAGGTGAGATCTCACCACTTCACCTAAACATTATTTTTGGGTCATTTACGCTCATTACGATGAAGAAGTCATGACAAAACATATACGCTCATTACGATGAAGAAGTTTCGACAAATCATTTACGAAGAAATCATGACAAAGCATATACGCTCATTACGATGAAGAAGTCATGACAAAACATGAGGTGAGAAAAGAGGTGAGAAAAGAGGTGAGATCTCACCACTTCACCTAAACATTATTTTTGGGTCATTTACGCTCATTACGATGAAGAAATCATGACAAAACATTTACGCTCATTACGATGAAGAAGTCATGACAAAGCATATACGCTCATTACGATGAAGAAGTCATGACAAAACATGTACGATGAAATCATGACAAATCATTTACACTCATTACGATGAAGAAGTCATGACAAAACATGTACGAAGAAGTCATGACAAAACATTTACACTCATTACGATGAAATCATGACAAAACATGTACGATGAAGAAATCATGACAAAACATTTACGATGAAGAAGTCATGACAAAACATATACGATGAAGAAATCATGACAAAGCATATACACTCATTACGATGATGAAGTTTCGACAAAACATATACGATGAAGAAGTCTTGACAAAACATATACGCTCATTACGATGAAGAAGTTTCGACAAAGCATAAACGAAGAAGTTTCGACAAAGCATAAACGAAGAAATCATGACAAAACATAAACGATGAAATCATGACAAAACATGTACGATGAAGTTTCGACAAAACATGTACGATGAAATCATGACAAAACATGTACGATGAAGAAATCATGACAAAACATTTACGCTCATTACGATGAAGAAGTCTTGACAAAGCATATACGCTCATTACGATGAAATCATGACAAAGCATATACGCTTATTACGATGAAGAAATCATGAAAATTCAATGAGGGTAGAAATGAGGGTAGAAATGAGGTTAGATCTAACCATCTACCCTAAACATTATTTTTGGGTCATTTACGTTCATTACGATGAAGAAGTCATGACAAAACATTTACGATGAAGAAGTCATGACAAAACATATACGAAGAAGTCTTGACAAAACATATACGTTTAGTTTCGATGAAATCATGACAAAACATGTACGATGAAGAAGTCATGACAAAACATATACGCTCATTACGATGAAGAAATCATGACAAATCATTTACACTCATGTTTGACAAAGCATATACGCTCATTACGATGAAGAAATCATGACAAAACATTTACGTTCATGTTTGACAAAACATTTACGTTCATGTTTGACAAAACATTTACGTTCATGTTTGACAAAACATTTACACTCATTACGATGAAGAAATCATGACAAAACATTTACGTTCATGTTTGACAAATCATTTACGAAGAAATCATGAAAATTCATGAGGTGAGAAAAGAGGTGAGATCTCATCTCTTCACCTAAACATTATTTTTGGGTCATTTACACTCATTACGATTAAATCATGACAAAACATTTACGTTCATGTTTGACAAAACATTTACGTTCATGTTTGACAAAAACATATACGATTAAATCATGACAAAACATATACGAAGAAACCTTGACAAAATATATACGAAGAAATCATGACAAAACATATACGAAGAAATCATGACAAAACATTTACGTTCATGTTTGACAAAACATTTACGATGAAATCATGACAAAATATATACGATGAAATCATGACAAAATATATACGCTCATTACGATGAAGAAGTCTTGACAAAACATATACGATGAAATCATGACAAATCATTTATGTTATACAGTAATGTTAGTCATGAATGTTTGTCCTACGTGTTGGCGTTAGTGTTGAAAAATAATGTTTGTCCTACATGAAGCCGTACAAGCGTTTGAATTTGTTTATGCATAAGATTACTCTCTTGTTTTCTGTATCTATCATACAAACATAAGCAGCACCTGTTTTTGTAAAGTTTATATGAAGTTTTCGATAGTTAAGACCTGTATAATAATAGAATGCGTCCTCATTCTCAACATAGTAGTAGAACTCAAACGAATGCTTACCATAATCTGTTATTTCAACAGCTTCGTCAGATATTTCATCAACGAACTCATAAACTATATCGCCATACTTGCTTTTATTTCTATTGTTTTCAGATTTAGAACACCAACGAAGGTTTGAGATTCTGTTGTCCGTTCTATCATGATTTATATGGTCTATTTCTTTCAAATTGTTTGGATTTTCAATCCACTGTTCTGCAATAATTCTATGCTTTAAATGTATTTTGTTGTTTAAACTAAGCACAATATAACCATGATTATTTAAGCATTCACTCTTAATATGTTTGTTTTTCTTTCGACGAATAGTAAAAGGATATGTCGTACAAATCTCATAATCTTCATGATTTCTCAATGTTTCCCATTGAGTTTGTTCCCCACTAACGTTCTCATTGACGTCCTCAATATCTTCTTCCTCACTGAACTCGTCAATATTTTCACTAGCTCCTTCTGTAATGTTTTCATCGGCATTGTCATTGACTTCTTCTGTAATGTTAGATGTTGTTGTTTCGCTCATGTTCTTTCACTAATGTTAAAAGTTATGTTGTACGAATTTTGAACAGAATTTAGAGCAGTTATGAAACAATGAAGTACTTTTACGCTATTGAAAGGAACTATGAGAGTGAAGTACATGACAGCAATGACAAAAGGAACTAATATCAAACCTAATGAAATCGCTCACGAGGACATAGAGCTTAACAAGTACTTTGTGGAGTATCTTATAAGTGAAGAGTATGTAAGACCTTACTTCATGTTTGACAGCATGAATGAGGATGTTATTTCATGGTTAAAGAATATAAGCAATGTTTTCGGTAAGTACGTCATAGATGACAAAGGTCTTGTTGTATTTTATGAGACAGCAATACGAACACAGGAACTAATGGATATTATGCACTCAACAGCAAAGAAAGGATTTAGTACTATTGGCATGAATGAACATTGCAGGAATGACATATACAACCTATGCTCACGAAAGCCTTACACAAAAGCAATACAAATGATAGAACATAAGTGTCTAAGGTCAGTAAATGAAATCATTACTGTCAGTGGTTATGAAAGAACTGTTAGCAAAGATGAGTGGAAACAGCTATTCATATTAAGGAAGGACGTTGCTGAACTAGTTAAACCTGTTGCACAAACATTGTTTCAGATAAGACCAGCAATGACTAAGAACCCTTTGACCTTAGTCAATGAGACCATAGAGGTTGAAGATAATGACATGAAAGAACTAGGAATGAATGAGAGAAGTTGTGAAGGATGTTTGAGTCAAAACACATGGTTCTTCAGAGCTGTTAAGAAACTTAGTAAAGAACGACAGAAATATTTTATAGAGAAGTATTGTAAAGGATGTGTAAATGAATTGCTTGAAATAGAACTTAGAGACACTTTCACACTAAAGGACTTGAGAAGAAATAAGTACATGAGTGAGGACGGTATTGACATAGCTAGTGTTATAAATGACTTAAGAAGATGTGTTGTCGTTATTGACGGAGCACGTATGACATATCTAGTGAAAGATTATGATGGAATACGAGACACAACAACACTTGTGTCAGTAGATAGCAAGGAATTCAATAAGCTCATGAAGAGTATTTATGTAGGACGTATTGAGGAGAAGGATGTGAACGCACTGATGATTTATGAAGCGGGTCAGAACAAGAACTATCTTATGAAGTCAGGCATGAGATTCTTTGACGAAAGAGATGACATTTACAGCTATTTCAGAGGATATGAGTATGAGGTACTGAATGAAGTAGATGAGAACGTTATTGAAGGATATTTGAAACATGTTCACGATGTCATATGTAATGAGGATGAAGAGCTTTATGAGTATGTTTTGAACTGGTTCGCCTACATCGTTCAAAATCCTTGTGGAAAGACTGGAACAGTACTTTTGTTAATAGGAAAGCAAGGAACTGGTAAGAATGTACTTATTAATGTTCTATGCGAGCTCATTAGCAAGTACGCCAACAATAATATAACGGCAATAGAGAATGTGGTTGGTAGATTCAATGCTGCTATTGAGAACATGAAGCTCATCGTATGCAATGAACTAAGCTCATGCGATACGTCTAAGGTCATGAACCACGACGCACTAAAGTCAATAGTAACAGAGACTCAGTTGGACTTAAATCAGAAGTGTCAGCCAGTAAGAAAGATAGAGAATGTTTGTAATATCATCATGATATCTAACAACTTCAACTCAGTAAAGATTGACAAAGACGACAGAAGATTTGTTGTCATTGACGTAAGCAGCTGATACAAAGGAAATTACGAATATTTCTCAAATCTCATTGAAAGCTTTAATGAAGAGTTTTATTCAAACTTACTGACGTACTTCATGAAGAAAGATTTAAGTGAATTTGATGTAAGGAAGATACCATTCACCAGGGCTAAACAAGAACTCATCGAAATGAACAAAACACCTTACCAAATGTTTTACGAGGAGTTCTATGAAAAGTTTGTATCCGGATGGAATTGTACAGAGTGCTACAGAAGATATAAAGAATTTGCGAAGGAGAATGAATTCTTTGCATGTAGTTCAAATGTATTTGGCGGCAAGATGAGAGAATTTGTGAAGAGAAGTAGAAAGCGAGACGGTTCTGCAAGAAGTTATATTTACGAAGCAAGTATGATATTAGAAGGTCGTGGAAAGAAAGAAACAGTGAATTATGAGGAAGTGCTTGAAAAATTCATGGAGTACATGGGAAGCAATATAACATACAACAAAGACATATACAGTGAGTTTAAGTACTACTGTGAACAGCATGAGATTGAAGTAATGAGTAAAGGAGACTTTGAAACGCTTATGAAAGACAGTGAGGAGGTCATACATGAGAACAGTGTTGAAATAGTTCATGAAAGACAGTGAGGAGGTCATACATGAGAACAGTGTTGAAACGCTTATGAAAGACAGTAAGGAGGTCATACATGAGAACAGTGTTGAAACGCTTATGAAGACAGTGAGGAGGTCATACATGAGAACAGTGTTGAACGCTTATGAAAGACAGTGAGAGAGGTCATACATGAGAACAGTGTTGAAAACGCTTATGAAAGACAGTGAGGAGGTCGTTCATGAGAACAGTGTTGAAATAGTTCATGAAAGACAGTGAGGAGGTCATACATGAGAACAGTGTTGAAACGCTTATGAAAGACAGTGAGGAGGTCATACATGAGAACAGTGTTGAAACGCTTATGAAAGACAGTGAGGAGGTCGTTCATGAGAACAGTGTTGAAATAGTTCATGAAAGACAGTGAGGAGGTCATACATGAGAACAGTGTTGAAACGCTTATAAAGACAGTGAGGAGGTCATACATGAGAACAGTGTTGAAACGCTTATGAAAGACAGTAAGGAGGTCATACATGAGAACAGTGTTGAAACGCTTATGAAAGACAGTGAGGAGGTCATACATGAGAACAGTGTTGAAACGCTTATGAAAGACAGTGAGGAGGTCATACATGAGAACAGTGTTGAAACGCTTATGAAAGACAGTGAGGAGGTCATACATGAGAACAGTGTTGAAACGCTTATGAAAGACAGTGAGGAGGTCATACATGAGAACAGTGTTGAAACGCTTATGAAAGACAGTGAGGAGGTCGTTCATGAGAACAGTGTTGAAATAGTTCATGAAAGACAGTGAGGAGGTCATACATGAGAACAGTGTTGAAACGCTTATGAAAGACAGTGAGGAGGTCGTTCATGAGAACAGTGTTGAAACGCTTATGAAAGACAGTAAGGAGGTCATACATGAGAACAGTGTTGAAACGCTTATGAAAGACAGTGAGGAGGTCATACATGAGAACAGTGTTGAAACGCTTATGAAAGACAGTGAGGAGGTCATACATGAGAACAGTGTTGAAACGCTTATGAAAGACAGTGAGGAGGTCATACATGAGAACAGTGTTGAAACGCTTATGAAAGACAGTAAGGAGGTCATACATGAGAACAGTGTTGAAACGCTTATGAAAGACAGTGAGGAGGTCATACATGAGAACAGTGTTGAAACGCTTATGAAAGACAGTGAGGAGGTCGTTCATGAGAACAGTGTTGAAATAGTTCATGAAAGACAGTGAGGAGGTCATACATGAGAACAGTGTTGAAACGCTTATGAAAGACAGTGAGGAGGTCATACATGAGAACAGTGTTGAAACGCTTATGAAAGACAGTAAGGAGGTCATACATGAGAACAGTGTTGAAACGCGAAAGACAGTGAGGAGGTCATACATGAGAACAGTGTTGAAACGCTTATGAAAGACAGTGAGGAGGTCATACATGAGAACAGTGTTGAAACGCTTATGAAAGACAGTGAGGAGGTCATACATGAGAACAGTGTTGAAACGCTTATGAAAGACAGTAAGGAGGTCATACATGAGAACAGTGTTGAAACGCTTATGAAAGACAGTGAGGAGGTCATACATGAGAACAGTGTTGAAACGCTTATGAAAGACAGTGAGGAGGTCGTTCATGAGAACAGTGTTGAAATAGTTCATGAAAGACAGTGAGGAGGTCATACATGAGAACAGTGTTGAAACGCTTATGAAAGACAGTGAGGAGGTCATACATGAGAACAGTGTTGAAACGCTTATGAAAGACAGTGAGGAGGTCATACATGAGAACAGTGTTGAAACGCTTATGAAAGACAGTGAGGAGGTCATACATGAGAACAGTGTTGAAACGCTTATGAAAGACAGTGAGGAGGTCATACATGAGAACAGTGTTGAAACGCTTATGAAAGACAGTGAGGAGGTCATACATGAGAACAGTGTTGAAACGCTTATGAAAGACAGTAAGGAGGTCGTTCATGAGAACAGTGTTGAAATAGTTCATGAAAGACAGTGAGGAGGTCATACATGAGAACAGTGTTGAAACGCTTATGAAAGACAGTGAGGAGGTCGTTCATGAGAACAGTGTTGAAACGCTTATGAAAGACAGTAAGGAGGTCATACATGAGAACAGTGTTGAAACGCTTATGAAAGACAGTGAGGAGGTCATACATGAGAACAGTGTTGAAACGCTTATGAAAGACAGTGAGGAGGTCATACATGAGAACAGTGTTGAAACGCTTATGAAAGACAGTGAGGAGGTCATACATGAGAACAGTGATGAAACGCTTATGAAAGACAGTGAGGAGGTCGTTCATGAGAACAGTGTTGAAATAGTTCATGATGTCGTTCGTGAAGAAGCCATTGCAACAAAGAATGAGATAAAGGATTTCATAGAACTTAACAAGGAGGAGTTTAAAGAAGGCTATGAAGTGAAAAGATGTGAAGAAGATTTCTTGGCGTATTTGAAGAAAAAGAGACTAAAGCCAATGGCTCAAAATAAGTTTCAATCGATGTTTGAAAAGAAACGTTTGAGCTATGGTGGTGTAAGAAGCACATATTACTTTGTTAAGAAGTGAGGACATTTATTTTTGTCGTTAGTGTTGGAGTTTGTGTTTGTTGTTAGTGAGAGAATAAATTAAATCATGAACTTTGCCATGGTCTCTGTCCCTAGTAGTTTTCATTAAGTTCTGGAAATAATGAAAGTCATAAACTTTGCCATGGTCTCTGTCCCTAGTAGTTTTCATTATCTCACAGAGTTAATGAAAGTCATACTTTCTATCAGATGAAGCATGCAGATGAACATAACGAAAGTTAGTGAGTTTGCCACGAGTTATGAATAAAATATTGGCATATTAGATGAGATAGCTGATGAAACAGATGAAGATAAATTAAATCTTGGACTTTGCCACACTCTGTCCCTAGTTCCTCAAAAATCCTTGACAACGTTGCTTAGAAATTTTGGTTCAAAACCTCATCTGATTTTAATCTGTTATGCTACCTGTTAAGTTTCGCGAGATTATAAATGTCATGGAGTTATATAAAAAGGAGGACAGCTAGGGACACTGGAAGTACTTGTAAGGCTATCTGTTAAGATTGCATGAAATACTAAAAAGTCATGAAATCCATTATCGCTGTGCTAGCTTCACCTTAGAGTAAAATGACAAATAAAGTCACTGAAGCAATGAAACAAAAGTTTTTGGTAGAATACATTAAATCAGGAATTATTCCAGAAGGTTTTTACATTCATACTATGAAGGATGGTAGAGTTCAGTTTAGAAAGATAAAGCAACCATTAGATAAAGAAGGTATATTAAGGAAGATTAAACTTCATGAGGACAACATTGCTGAACTTAAGAAGAAGTTAGAAGAGTTGGAGAAAGGAAGAGAGTTATAAAGCAATGAATTCAACAGGGTGAAAAAACAGGTGAAAAAAGAGGTGAGATCTCACCACTTCACCTAAATTTATTTTTGTGCTATGTTTTCATACGTGTGAGGGTGGTGATATCATTTATTTTTTATTTTATTTTTTATTTTATTTTTATTTTATTTGGATGTAATGACGAAAACTATTGAGATAACAAACTACAACGGTCATGAGTTCAAGAATTTGTTCTTCGTTCCTCGTGAAAATACATTCTATCAGATACGAGGGAGAAAGGGTAAAGTTAGTTTGAGCGTTTATGAAGGAATGAAGAATGGAAAGTTTATACAAGCATACGATACAAACGGTAAGCGTGTTTCATTAGCTTTGTCAAAACTTACTAACATTTATTTTGACAGTGACTTTGACTCTGACGATTGGAGCGACAGCAGCGATACTGAAGAATATGAACTATTGTGTGAAGCACAGCAATGGGAAGAGTTGCAATACTTTTGTAAGTGAGAACGTTTATTTTTTACAGTAGTGAAGTCGTTTGTGAAAACGTTAGTGAGGTGAAGTGGTTGGCGGCTTTATAAATATTTAAGGTTAAGTTGGTGTTTGTGTTTGTGTTGTAAAATATACGTTAACAGTTTTGTAAAGTGTCAAATTCACAAGTCTCGTGTACGGAGGAACGCAGTGCCACCGTACGCAAGATTTGTATACTAACTTTTATGAAGGAATGAAGAATGGAAAGTTTATACAAGCATACGATACAAACGGTAAGCGTGTTTCATTAGCTTTGTCAAAACTTACTAACATTTATTTTGACAGTGACTTTGACTCTGACGATTGGAGCGACAGCAGCGATACTGAAGAATATGAACTATTGTGTGAAGCACAGCAATGGGAAGAGTTGCAATACTTTTGTAAGTGAGAACGTTTATTTTTTACAGTAGTGAAGTCGTTTGTGAAAACGTTAGTGAGGTGAAGTGGTTGGCGGCTTTATAAATATTTAAGGTTAAGTTGGTGTTTGTGTTTGTGTTGTAAAATATACGTTAACAGTTTTGTAAAGTGTCAAATTCACAAGTCTCGTGTACGGAGGAACGCAGTGCCACCGTACGCAAGATTTGTATACTAACTGATGCTAAGCTGTGTAGAATGTTCGATTAGAGCTGTTTTGATATGATTTTTCTCATCATAAGATTGGAGGAATCATAGCAAAACAACTCTAATGGGTTTACCATCATCTACTTGTATGTAGATGTTTGGGAAATTGTCTTGTTAATCGATTTTCGAGATGACTTTCAAATGCTATAATCAAATGACAAACAAGTCTAAGATTTCTCGACAATACATCAAATCATGATGTTTGTAAGTGCGATGAGATTAGAGTTTTTGAAGGAATGACAAGAGAAGTAGGGAAGCTCGGCATTCGCCGAGCAAATTAAAAATTAACGTATGGATTAAATTTTAAGAGGAATTCAATTTTAATTACGGGTTGTTCAAATATTGATTAATATAAATTTATTAATAAGAATAAACAATTTTTGTTTTTGAATTTATTCAATTTATAGCTTTACATATAGTTTCAAAATTGTACAACTATGATTATTTCAACAAAAAATATCTTACTTTTTCACTTCACTTTCACACTCACTTTTTCCGTAATTCAAATTTCAACATTATGTATTTTAATTCCTTATAGTATTTTTAACATAATTAATCAAATAATAATTGGAAGTTCTGAACTCACTTTTTCCGAAATTCAAAATCAAAAATAATATATCTATTTATTATACACTAATGCTATTTTCAACTAGAAGTGAGGTACGGTAATCTTACGGATTCCCGTAACTCAATTTTACGGGAAAAGTGCAGTAAACTACTCAATTTACGGAAAAAGTGTCGTAAACTATTGATGTGGCGGTAAAATCACGGTAATTCACGGAAAGCTATATGCGAAAATTTGAAATTATACAAAATCGAGCGAAACACTTTTAAATAGGTTGTTCTCGTATTTCAAATACTATTCCCAGACTGCCATAGGCTATATCAGATGCCCATTCTTTTTGATACTCAACATTAAACATAAAACTTAGCCGTTAAGGCTCTTCTGAAAATATTTTTTTTCCGAAAAATTTTCGAAAAAAATCAAAAAATTTAAAAATCCCCGAATCTGCAGGGATTTTAAAAAATTCTTTTTAGTAAAACTTAAGGATATTGTATCAGATATATTGGTATGGGCAAATTCAATTTTAATCCAATATTCATCGAGTAGGGATGCATTAAACACGCCATTTGACCGGGCGTACATTTTTTTTGTTCGCCCAAAAATTTCGCCATTTGAGAAATTCAAAAATTAAAAATAAAATTTTAATCTTGATTTTTTTATTTTCGTGATTTTTTTGAAACTTACATAAGCGATGAAATACTTTTTTTAAGTAATCGTTTATTATATATAAATATATCTTAATAAATTTAATTCCTTAAGGTAGAGCGTGTTCAAATTTAAAATCTCATACAATATTTTCTTAATGGCGTATTTTTCTGAGGTCGCCCAAATAAAGGCGAATTCAAAATTGAGAACTCCAAGGCGTATGGCGAGTATTCAAAATGTACGCCACTTACAAAATATTGAATGTGGATTATCAATTTTTTGGCGTGTTCAATTTCAAATTTTGATATTTATGTTTATTTTATTCAGTATAATGCTAAGAATTAAAATATAAAATTCATAGAATTTTTTCTTTGAAAATATTTTCCATTTTTATTAGACCACTCCTAGACTAGTCATCAGGTTATCCTCAGATCATCCTCAGACTACTCCTTATCAGATTACTCATCATCCTCAGACTACTCCTTAGACCCCTCCTCATCAGACTACTCCTCAGATCTTCCTCATAAGACTACTCTTCAGACTACTCCTTAGAGTCCTCCTCATCAGACTAGTCCTGAGACTAGTCCTCAGACTACTCCTGAAACTACTCCTCAGATTATCCGCAGACTCCTCCTCAGATTATCCTCAAACTACTCCTCAGTCTAATCCTCAGACTCCTCCTCAGATTATCCTCAGATTATCACTTTACATATATATATCGATAACTAAATAATTACTTATTATACTTTCTTTATTTTTTTTTAATTTTAAAATAATATTAATATATCTTTCTACGTTTAATGATGAAAAGAGAAAGAGGAGTAAAAAGAGGAAAGAGAAAAGAAAGAGAGAGAGAAAAAAAAGGACGGCGATAATTTTGTATTGTTTTGTTATTCGGCCGAATGGCGGCTACTTCGTACCCGCCATTCGGCCCCAAAAATGGCGTATTATTCTATTTTTAAACGGTCATGGCGTAAAACCGTCGCATCCCTATTCATCGAGATATTAAGTTAACGAAGCTTTCAAAATTGAGAGGGTAATCCTCCTCTCAAATAAACGTACATGCGGGTGCACCCTTACAAAATGTGAAAGAAAAATGTAAAAATTATTCTTTTTAAGTTCATTTAAACATTTTTTTGAAAAACAAAATAGTAATTAACCGGAAATAATAATCGAAAATATCAAATGTTAGTTATTTAAGGGAATACAGTTAACATTTACAAAATTTGAATGTTAATCTCTATTATTAATGCCATATTTAAGTACCAAGAAGTTCGGTATATTAGGAAAAACCGCTTCCAGAAGAAAATATAGACTTGAAATGGAAGTTTAGAAGGAAATTTTCGAAATACTTCTCTTTCATGGAAAAATCTTCCAATTTAGCAATAAGATGTATTGCATGATATTTCTCAAATAAAGAATGAAAGCAGCATAACACAAATCAAATAATTTTATTAATGAACCAAAAAATTAAACAATAGCATTTTTAGGATGTTATTTTTAATTAACACATGATGTATGATTGAAATAATGGCAGTTATTATATATTTCCTCTGTTAAATTAAAAATATAAAATTAAAAATGAAATTATGCAAAAGCAATTGAATCCCTATGATTAAACCAGGTATACATTATATTTTTATTCACTTATATACAAAAATCTTAATAGTAAAAAAAAAGATTGACATTAAAGTAAAATTTTTACTGCATGTATAATATCTACTTATTAGATAGTGCAATTTAAAATGAATGGTAGGAGTTTAAATGATAAATCAAAGATTTTCGTGAACGTTTATATTATTAATAACAGTAATTGATAATTTCAGTATAATTTTGATAAAGTACCTTCTGAGGATATATTGAGCGAACAGTAATTATTTGGATTTTTATGAAATTTTATTTTTGAATAATATAAATATGAAACAAAATGTTATAAAAATCTATGTTCCCAACAAGCAAGCATTGCTTTTGATAGGTGCAACTTCTGTTTAGTAATTTGCGATAAATTCATATTGTTGAAATTTAATTATTATTGACACGACTGCTTTACGTATGATAATTCTATTCCATTTTAGGCACATGTGAATGTTTCATATGAAAGGTATTGTTGTAGTTTAAACTTTACTGCAATATTCCCATCATCATCAAAAACTGTACGTTAGCTCTCGTGTTGCCCAAGGTATTCAATTCTATCCCCGTGTTGCCCAAAAGTACTCAATATTTGAGAGAAATTGAATAGTTTACAACCGTGTTACACCCGTGTTGCTGCAAAAAAATAAAACTCAAATCCACAAACATGTTAGATTTCTCGGCCTGAAAATTGAAGGGAAAAGATCTTTCATCAATTTGTATATTAGTCCTCTATTTATTTAAATCAATGAATAAAGAATCATTAGTAGTAGGATAGGACGGGGTGTGTGACTTTTTTTGTTACGTCTATATATAGATGAAGGTATATTTTAATGCATCTTCTATACATAGATGATATAAAAATTTTTTCTTACGTTTTTTAAAAGTCATGAATTTGTAAGAAAGTGCGACATTATTAAATAAATTAGTAATAAATATTATATACTAAACACATTTTAAAATAATTTATTTTTTTATCTTTTATAAAAGAAGCTATATATAGATGATGTCAGATATTCCGCGATTAATTAAACATTGTTTAAATCCTGAATGGAATCAATGGAGTCATAATCAAAGACCTCATAAACGAGAAGAAGAAATTGAAAATAATGAAATGGAAATCATTGATGACATTAAAGAGGATGGAATTCCTAAATTTTGTAGAAAAACCTTTAGAACTAAGTTAGGAGCATATAAACGTAGAGTATTAAATCCTGAATACATAAAACATTTATTTAAAAAGGAAGACTGTGAATTATTAAACGCTAATGAATATGAAAATGCTAAATCAAAACTGAGATATAAATATATTGGAAGTGATGAAAGGTGTAAAGATAAAGATAAAGTTTATTCAGTTTCATATAATAACTGGCACACATTAGGGATAAGAAAACATTTAGGAGATTATGGTAAAAGTTCCGAATTCTTTAAATCTAGTATGTACGAGAGAGTAAAAGAAATCAGATATAATTATTTTCATGAATGAAAAATAAACTTTAAAAATTCATGTCTCACGAAAAATTAAACGCAAGACTATCAAAAGATAGAGTTGAAAGAGTAATGGTAATGATGAAGAAGAATTATATAAAGTGGAACCATTCACGAAAGATTCATTTTATTCAGCATTAACTCAAGAAACTATATCAGATAGTGATTATCAAATATATCTCAATGATGCTAAAAATTTTAAGAATAGATTAGAATATTTTATTCATTATTGCAATAAAGATGTTGAAATTATGATTGACCCAATTGATAAAATTATTGAAGAAACATTTGTTTATAAAATTGACATGCTTCATAATCTTTCTTTATCATCGAATGCTTCAATGATTCGTTACGCTTTAGCATATAAAGACTTTAATCCTAATGAAAAATATCCTGAGGAAGAGATAGAATCAAGTTTTGAATTAACGAAAAAGTATTGGAAATATAAAATTGAATCATATAAGAAACAAGATGAAAAAGCAGAAAGGGATACTAAAAATAATGTTTCAATGGATGATTTTCAATACTATCACGATTTAATCCTTTCATCTAAATGCAAAATGTGTGGTAAAGCGTTTACATATGCAAATAAACCAACATTGGATAGAATCGATAATGAAAAACCACATACTAAAGAAAATTGTCAGTTAATGTGTTGTTATTGCAATGTCGTAAAATCAAATAAAGATGAAGATGTTCAACGTTTAAGAATCAATTTAAGAAATTATGCATTAAAAAATAATTTACCAATGACTTTAGATTCAGTTGAAGCTTATCACATTCTCCGTAATGGAATTACTGGTGGTTTATCAAATGTTCAACATAGAGTAAATCTTAAAGGAATCACGCACATTAATAAACTTTCATATAGTCCAGAAACTAAAACTGTATCAAATGAGGACACCACCAACATCATGACTCATTTCGTTGGAGTTGACTTTAATTCATTATATCCTTCATCATTTTCATCTAATCCTCATGATTTCATTCAATATACTGACCATAAAATGTATATGCCGGGAAGATTGAATGGTGTTATTATTTGTGATACAGCAACAAAGAAAGCAAAAGCACTGGGAATAATTAAGAAGAAAAATACTTTATTCGTGGCTGAAGTAAAGGGTCACATTGATGAAAAATACATTAATGATTACATAAACTTTTTACCGATAATAAGAAACTTAGATATTATCACAGATGAAAAAACAATTGGCAGTTTTATGTATAATTACATGAAATCAAACAATCTACCGGTTGACCAGAAACAGAGAAAATTAACTCAATTAGCATCAACACACAACCAATATCAACCATTTTCTTCTTATTATCTATGGTATCTAATAGACAGATTTCATTTTATCATCGATGATATTCAATCAATTTTAACATTTACTAAAAACACTTGCTTTAATGAATTTGCGAACAAATTTATGAACGAAAGACAAAAGGCTGAATTAGAAGGAAATAAAGGAAAAAGTTTATTTTGCAAGATTTCACTTAATGGATCATATGGTTACGATGCAATGAATACACAAAATTACGCAAAGACTAAAATAATGAATGCACAGAAGTCACGCGTTGCATGTATGTCAAATAAGTTTAAAAACATAAGAGAAATAGGTGAAGATACATATCAAGTGATGCTTAAAGATAGATTTTATAGATGTGATACATGTTTACAAGAGGCATTCTTCACTTTAGATAATGCTAAATACTGGTATTTGGTTTTCATTTATGATTTTATGTATAAATGCATGGATGTTAATCGTTTTCATTTCATTGAAGGTGATACTGATTCATCTTATTGGGCAATCGCTGGCGATCCAAGTCTTCCTAACACTCAAGTATTTCAAGCAATTGTTACCGATAAACAATTTTATGATAAAAACATTTTCAAATTCGCACCATTTGATTTCTTCTGTTTTGATGAGAAATTTAAACCTAAATTAAAGAATAAAGCTGAAGAAAAAGCACATGAGAAGAAGTTATTGGGTTTAGCAATTGAGAAACAAGGCGATAACATGGTGGCGTTATGTCCTAAATGTTATACATCATTCAACGGTTCAATTGATGGAAGTGATTTTAAAAAGATTGCACAAAAAATGAAGGGTGTTAGTTTAAGACAAAATAAGCAATTAACACCTAAAAAATATTTGGATATAATAAATGATAAAGTGATATTTGATGGTCAAAATATTAATTTACAACTTAAAAACGGGTCAATGACTCGCTTAACAATCGGTAAGACTGCATTAACAGGAGCACACACTAAGGCTGTATGTTGTGAAAATGGATGTTGTATGCCATTTATTTAATACAATTTAAAATTTTATTCTTAATGAAATGCCACAGAAGAGACAAAAGGAACCGTTAATGATGGTTTTGATACTATGATTCAAAGAGGTGGGCACCCTTAAAACACTTATTTTATTTTTATATAAATGAACAGCGTAGATTTAAAAATTTTAATTGCTGATTTAGTATTTAATCAAAAATTTCTTAATTATTATGATTTAAAAGCATATCTCCAAAAATATGATAACAATATAACAGGTGATGATATGGAATATTATTATCCATATTATAAAAATGAAATTTTGAAATATCATGATAAAATAATTTCTGAAATTAAAGACAAAATTAAAAATAATGAATATTCAAAGGGAAAAACTAAATCACAACTTAAACAGTTGAAAGATTTCAAAAATAAAGTATTAACAGAAGAAGATATTGATGAATTATATAAATTATATAATCCTGAGCCGCAAAAGCCAAAGGAACAAAAACAAAAGATGCAAAACGCCCTAACCCTTCAGACCATAAATGATGCACAAGCTTTAATTTATGATTCATTAGTTAAACCATATTCAGCCCGACTTTTAAATGAAGATCAACTTTTGGAATTCATCCTTCAACATAAACTCGAAGCGGGAAAGTATATCAAACCTTTATATACAGCATATTTAAAACAAATGAATAGAATACATCCAGAATTAATGAAGGAAGGAATGAAATCCAAAATCAAAGCAGATAAAATTAAACCACTTGCAACACCAAAACCTCCAACGACAGTACCGCCTCCTCCTTCAGTTAATCCTTCATCATTCACTTTATTATATCCATTTCAAACATTAAAGAAACAAAAAGATTTTAAAAAGGGTTTCAAGATATTAAATAAACCAACTGACCCGAAAATTCAACCGTTAAAGGAAAAATTTAGTCGCCCTTCATTTGCTCCATATCCATATTCATACGAAATCGATCATTTAGAATATTCAAAAGGAAACGTTACTTATTTATTTGCCATTAACATTAACACTAGATATTTATATTGCATTCCAGTGAAAGGGAAAACAGAACAGGAAACAAGAAGAGCTATACAATACTTACTAGATCATGAAAGAGTAGATAATATCAGGGGTGATGGTGATAAAGGATTTCAGGCAACTATGACTCATTATTTCCCACAAATTAATTTTTTCTTTTCATCTTCTCCATATACGTTTCATAATAAAATAGTTGATGCGGTAATGAGAACTCTTAGAGATGCGTTAGGGGTTAACGGTCAGATATACTGGGATGGAAATCATGACTCCATCATACAACAGTTAGTATATTATTATAATAATACATGGCATAGAACTATAAACATGAAACCAGTGGAAATGAAAAATGATATTTCAAAAGAATGGGAATATATTAGAAAGCAAATGGAAAGGTTGAATGATGTTAAACGTGAACAAATTAATTCGGGGCTCATGAATTTTAAACAAGGGGATAAAGTTTTGATTCATCTCGATTATGGAAAAACTGATAAATCAATGACAAAAAGAAGACGAAGATTTGACACAATAGCTGAATTTGTTAGATATATTAACGGCAATGCATTAGTTGAAGTTGACAATAAATTAATAGAAATTCCGATTTATTTTATTACTCCATTATATTTAAATAATATTTAATTTTTTTATTTCGTAAGAAATGAGTGACAATGAAGCATCCAAGAGTCCAGACGATGAATATAAAAAGAAACTAAACAGAATTAAATCAAAAATATGCTATTACAAAAAGAAGCCGCAATGCGGTGGGGCTGATGCCCATAAAACTAATGGAACTGAAAACGATGAAGAGAGGAAAGAAATAATCGAAAAATTAGAAACTTATCGTTCAATCATTAAACTGAGTGAAGCAAAAATAAAAGAATTTAATAGAATAAATAAATTGATTGGAAGAGATGAATTTAATAAAGATGAATTTTTAAACTCAATCCAAATTTAATTTTTATTCCTCTTCGACAACATCTCTCTTTCCATCATTACTGCATAACCGCATTTTCTCAGTTTTAGTGGTTTGTTATTTTTAGCAAGTTCTCGCATCATTTTTATCATTTCCTCCCTTGTTATGATTCGTGGTAAATTTTGAGCTTGTGGGGTATTCATTTATATAAAAATAAAAATTTGTCATTAACGACCAAAAATAATGTTTATGTTAATGTTTTCAGGTTATTCAATAATTAATTATTTTTGAAGAACTGAAGGTGTCACCAGGTCACCATGTGCTACCAGGTCATTTAACTTCTCTGAAAAAGTGTGACAACATGACATTTTGACAACAACACAGGAGGAAGGCAGTTATGAATTATTTTTGAAGAACTGAAGGTGTCACCAGGTCATTTAACTTCTCTGAAAAAGTGTGACAACATGACATTTTGACAACAACACAGGAGGAAGGCAGTTATGAATTATTTTTGAAGAACTGAAGGTGTCACCAGGTCACCATGTGCTACCAGGTCATTTAACTTCTCTGAAAAAGTGTGACAACATGACATTTTGACAACAACACAGGAGGAAGGCAGTTATGAATTATTTTTGAAGAACTGAAGGTGTCACCAGTCACCATGTGCTACCAGTCATTTAACTTCTCTGAAAAAGTGTGACAACATGACATTTTGACAACAACACAGGAGGAAGGCAGTTATGAATTATTTTTGAAGAACTGAAGGTGTCACCAGGTCATTTAACTTCTCTGAAAAAGTGTGACAACATGACATTTTGACAACAACACGGGTTATTCAATAATTAATTATTTTTGAAGAACTGAAGGTGTCACCAGGTCACCATGTGTCACCAGGTCATTTAACTTCTCTGAAAAAATGAGACAACATGACATTTTGACAACAGGTACAAGAGAATGCAAAAATAAATTCCAATCATACTTTATACTGCCTCATTTACAGGTATTTCATCGTCAGTAAATGATTCCTCATTATCGTTTGGTTCAACCTGTTTATATAATCCTTTCATTTCTTCTTTCAAAACATAACACCATGTTTGTTTACCATCTATTCTTATCTGTTTCCTATCACATTTATCCTTAATACTCATTTGAAAGTTTTTGTCTTTCATGTCTGATGGTTTGCAGAATAGAGCATTTTCACACGTCATACCTGCACACAATTCATCATAATGTGTATTTATCCATACATCTAAAGGATTTGTTGATAATTCAATTAAATCTTGTTTGGCTTCAGTCATCGGTATGATTCGTACATTAAATGATGAAAGGTCGTAATTGATAAAATACGTTAGTAAATTATCATAAAATTCCTTTGTGCATGAATCCATCAAATTCTTGAAGTAATCAAATTGACCCTTGAATTTACCATTAACTCTTAAAACTACGTATCTTCTGTCTCCAACTTCAATTTTGACAGGGTAGACGTTGTTAGTTACGAAAATGAAGTTTGCAACGTTCTGAGCAGTTCTTCTGGGTTGATTCTTTTCATTAATTCTAATCTCATTATCCGTAATAATTGATTTCAAAGCGTTGAGTTTGCGAGTCTGTCTTCACCTACATTC